TTGATCGATGGATCGTTGGATGGATTTTGGCATTACCATATCAATAGATGTCATATTTTACTTTCAGAATACATGTATCTCTGCAGTATGTGAAAACAATGGCTCTTGTCAACCGCTACTGAATGACTTTCGATGCCACTGCCCGCAAGGATTCACGGGTAAACGCTGCGAGAAAAAGTGTAAGTTCCACTACACGCACGCCCATCTTGACCCACTAATGATGTAAAACTAAGAGAGCATAAACAAAAGAGGGAAACTTCTTAATATCGCGCGCGCCCTGTGAATTCCCGGTTGGGCTATTTTAAGAAATCAGATGCAATGCAGTATAAATTTGGCCGTTTTTTATCCTWCTCCCATGCGTCAACTAGCTAGCGTGTGTGAGCTCTTTACGTTCGTCGCTTTGGTCACTAAAAACTATAAAAACTTCTCGCTATATCAAGAACTTTCCTCTTTTTATACTCTCTTGATGACACCCAACTGATTATTTGGTGGCGGTAGCGTCGTTTTCGCCTCGGCATCACAAGTAAGTAGAGTTTATTTTAGGACTATCGCTTGATTTAATTAATTTTCTCTAGTTTTTTTTTGTTTGTTTTCCCTCCCTGCGCAAAACCTAATATTGTAGATCCCACGCGACATCTGTGATCACGAGTTAGTTTGCCCAAGTGAGAAAGGCCAAGAAGTTGTTTCAGGGTTCAATCTGTGAATTAGCCATGCCTTGCCGACTTATTAGATCCATCCATAAATGCATTGTGTCGTTACATCGCTGGCCAAGAGAAAAGTTTTTCTTTCTTTCGTCCTTCCTTTTTTCACAGGTAGATGGTGGCTCAAGATCAACGCAAGTCCTGTCTGCTTTGGGGCAAAAAATTCATTATACGGACCATTCTACATCAAACAGAATGGCTCTGTCTCTACAGTAAAGCTGGTGCACCTGTCTGGCTATGTGACGTGTAACTACATGCAGAAGSAAACCAGGAGMAACTGGGGTTGTGGACCGTACGTCASTAATCACAACAAATCCTTTCACGACAGAATGTTCACGATAATCACCGATGACCTCGATCAGAAGATTCTTCCACAAGATGAATATATTAGCAGAGCCACTACTTTKGAATACAATCTTCCTGGAGGATATACGTCCCAGTCCCCTGAACTGATCTTTCCAAATTTGGATACTACGATGAATGTTACCGCTGGTCAAGAGTATCGTATCTGGTATGGACAGGATTTGAAGGATGTGTATGAAGATAAGAACAATGGGACGGCATGTATTGATGTGTATATGTATGGGTGGTTTGGTTAGAGATATACTATAGGTGAAGAGGCCCGTTGACAGCTGATATATGTATATGGATGTGTTGACAATGCATATGTATGGGTAGTTTGGTTAGAGTTCTAACTATAGGTGAAGAGGCCCATTGACAGCTGATATNGTTTGGTTAGAGTTCTAACTATAGGTGAAGAGGCCCATTGACAGCTGATATATGTACATGGACGTGTTGACAGTGCATATGTATGGGTGTTTGGTTAGAGATATACTATAGGTGAAGAGACCCATGACAGCTGACATATGTACATGGACATGTCGACAGTGCATATGTATGGGTGGTTTGGTTAGAGATATACTATAGGTGAAGAGGCCCATGACAGCTGACATATGTACATGGACGTGTTGACAATGCATATGTATGGGTGTTTGGTTAGAGTTCTAACTATAGGTGAAGAGGCCCATGACAGCTGACATATGTACATGGACGTGTTGACAGTGCATATGTATGGGTAGTTTGGTTAGAGTTCTAACTATAGATGAAGAGGCCCATTGACAGCTGATATATGTACATGGACGTGTTGACAGTGCTTATGTATGGGTGTTTGGTTAGAGTTCTAACTATAGGTGAAGAGGCCCATGACAGCTGACATATGTACATGGACGTGTCGACAGTGCATATGTATGGGTGTTTGGCTAGAGTTCTAACTATAGGTGAAGAGGCCCATGACAGCTGATATATGTATATGGATGTTTTTACTTGTGTTGACAATGCATATGTATGGGTAGTTTGGTTAGAGTTCTAACTATAGGTGAAGAGGCCCATTGACAGCTGACATATGTATATAGGCGTGTTGATACATTAGAAGTCAATGTAAAAAATATATTGTGATTTATTACTTTTTAAAAGGAATTTTTACAAAAGTTAGTTTTTACTTTAAAGTGCCTATCACCCTTCTGACAATATTCACAGTATTGATTCTACATGGGATAAGACGTCGAATAACCTGAAAAAATTTCATAGTTTGAGTGCAGCTTCTTGAAGTTATGAAGGTTTTTTAGCCATATGCTAATGCTGTAATAATTTCGATTAGAGCAATGGGGAAAACAATGACGTATTTCAAATTTAATTTATCTGTGCCAGTAAGGTTTTGTATATTAAATGATTATACTCCTCATACGTCACAACATTAGCATATGGCATCGAAAYTATTGCAAGTTAGTTTTCACATAGAAGCCGGTGTTTCGAATTACAAGGAACAACAAATAAC